TGAGGAAAATTGAATTGTATGCTCCTTTCTTACAAGAGTCATATCTCGTTTATATGTTTAGGTTACATTAGCTTCATTGGAAGAGGTGGAATGTAAATTATCTTTTTTTAGTCTGGTATTATAAGATTTTTAAATTACTGATTGAAATTTTAAAATGTAGGGTTCTTAAGATATTTTTGAATCAATTGTGAGAAGTTACATGGTTACTTTTATAGAGATAGTATAATATATACAAATTTTCAAGTTTATCAATTAATTTTGTAATTGAAATTTTCTAACTAACTTTATAATCTCTGTTTTATCCCTAACCACGTTCCTATTTTTATTTTTAATTTTTATTTGTGCCTTCTTCCCTTTTTATTTCTGATTAAATTTGCCATAGTGTTATCTTATTTCTTTATATTTATTCATTCATTCATTTTAAAAGAATTTATATGCATTTTGAGTTAGAGTTATCAAATAATCAACTTCTGACTTTCCATGCTTTCTATTGTAGACTTATATTCTATTTTACTAATTTCTGCAAATATTTTATTTATTTTCTTGCTCCTATATTCTCAATTTCATTTCTTTGTGCTCGAGTACGTTTCTGGGCTTGTTTATTTTCAGACTTGATTGTTTTCTGATAAAAAAAAAATTTACAGAATATACTTTACTCTTTCAAGAGCAGTTGCATTGCTACCAGAATGGCTAGAATTCTACTAGAATTGATATGTAGTGTTTTGTTTATTATTCATTTCTGAGAATTATTTAGTTTTCCAGTATGACATATTTTGATTCATAAATTATTTACAAGCATGTTTTTAAATGTTCATTTTAAAAATCTTTAGTATACATGTGTGGATACACACATTTATGTATTACATTAAATCTCAACTATATATGTAAAGGTTATATGTAAAACAATATATTTTTCAAATGCTTACTGAAGAAATTGTTATTTTTAATCTTCAATTTACTGTTTTATGTTTTATTATATTTTATTTTCTAATAGTTTATATAACCTTCCTTATTTAAGGAAGACTTGTTGCCTGAATTTTTCTCGTTTTATTTTTTATTATATAAATTAGTTTAAGTGGATTAATACCTCGTAGGTCCTTAATATTTTCTCTTTTATACTGAATTTTTGGTAGATTATAGCTATTAAAATGAGTCCAATCATTCTAGAATTTACTTTACATTATGTTTTAAACAGTAAAATGTCTAGAAAGCCATCACCACTAGATTTGTTACAAATGATGTACTATGCTTCACTCTGGAACAAAGTTGGCAATAGACTTAATAGAGTGATTTTTTATCTCTTCTCGATCAATCAATACTACCCAAAGGCCTTCTTTATATGTTACTATGAACAGAAATATTATCTTTTTTCAACTAAACAATCAGTTTTGTTCATACCCCAAAATGTAGTTTACTTTTAATTCCACACAATCTATACCATGACATCATAGATGGTTTCATTTTGGATTATTTTTATTAGTGCTATTCATTTATCTTCTATACCAGGAGAAATATCTCGTTTTAATTTGCACTACTTTAGGGGTCCACCAAGATACTTTATCAATGAAACATGATTCCAAATAAGACATTGAATTAACCTGCAGGATGGAGTTATTTAGTGTTGGTGTAGGATATATTCTTCATTTCTCTAATAATTTTGACTTTGGTGCTGTAAAATCTACTTTTCCTTCTAATGACAATGAAATGACAGGTGCAGATGCTTTTTCAATTTTTAATTCATTATATTAGAATAAGTTATCCACTTTCAAAACTATTTCTTGTTGACATGAAAGAAGATATCCATCTATTTAACACTATTGTGGAAGGCATGGAGCTTTGCTCATTGAAGTCCAAGTCAATTTCATTTTATTTTCATTATTTATGATACATTTTTTGAATATTTAAGGTAGGCTCTTGATCTTGGAGTTTTGCTCAAATTTAAAATGCAGAGGGAAAGCTGGGTTGCTCCCTATGGAACAAGACCATAATGCACGTTCTTATTTCATTCTCAGATAAAATCGGAAGGTGAGAAAAGAGCAACTAGCACTGTGATCCCAGCTTTTCATCAGGTGCCCCATCAACTTTATTGTGCTTAATCCTTATTATAGTCATTTTAGAGTGGTAATATTAGCATCTTCAAGGTTAGAAAAATATTGAGAACACTTAACCGCCCTATCCAATTCACAAGACTAATAAGTGGTGGAACTGTTATTTGAACCAATACTTTCCATGTTTCAAGTCTGTATCCTTCTTTAAAAATTCTGCCTTTCAGCGAGGCGTGGTGACTTATGCCTGTAATCCCAACACTTTGGGAGGCCGAGGTAGGTGGATCACTTAAGGTCAGGAGTTCGAGACCCGTCTCTACTGAAAACACAAAAAATTAGTCGGGTATGATGGCACACACCTGTAGTTGCAGCTACTCGGGAGGCTGAGGAGGAGAATCGCTTGGACCCAGGGGGCGGAGGTTGCAGTGATCCGAGATTGTGCCACTGCACTCCAGCCTGGGTGACACAGCAAGACTCCGTCTTAAAAAAAAAAAAAAGCCTTTCTTTCACTCAGAGTCTAAGAATGTATATTTTTGTTGCTCTTAGTGTGCATTAAAATTAATTCTAAAACTGCCATGAGATTCCTGCCTTTCTCAGAAAAATCTAATGGAGAAGTTTAGAACAGCTTCCCTGCTATGAGAAGTAATAGTGATTCACCTTCCTTGTGAAAGACTTTTTGCTGACTCCTCTCTTCAAGTATTTCAATGGCTTCTTAGAAGCCACAAAATTATAGCTTTTAAATTGCCAATGTCACATTAAAAGAATCAGTAGTTCTGGAAATGGCATGCCAACATTTTCCCAATAATTATTGATAATAGTTTTATTATTGAAATCGTTTTCTTTGGGAAAATATGAGCCTGTGATTCAATTTAATTATTAGGAACAGTTTTTTCAAGTATATGCATATACACATGAAAACATACACACATGAATAATATTTACATATATTATGGGTCTCATTTTACTATGTTGTGATTATTTGATAAAAGAATATTCTACATGGTGCAGATTTTATTGAAATTGCTTCACTTACTCCCACATGAGAAATTTTCTCTTGAAGTACTCAAAATATTGAAAATTTCTTCAGATATTGCCCCAAAATTATTCAAGCTAACTAATCTATAGATCTCTAGCAAGCACATTTCCTTTAAAAAAAAATCACCATTTTTATTTTCTTGTATTCTAATACGTTACAAATTCTCTTTAATTCCTTAAAATCCTTCAGTCTCACAATCTCACTTGAGTTTATCTGAAAGGGCCCTTCTTATTATTGAAAAGTGATGTATCCTGATCCAAAGGTATTGACTGATTTAACATAGAACAGTTCTCTTGAGTTTTCTTAGAATCAGAGTCACTCAAGTTGTGAAACCACTTCCAGTGCCAGCTGCTATCTATCAAGTTTGAACTCCTTCCACCAGGAAAATAGGGGCTCTTAGGTTATGGACAACACACTGCTTCAATTCATGGATTCAAATTAATAAAATAACTTTCCTTACGTGGAACAGAAATCTATCTGCAGGACCACTCAGTGTGCTATTACTCTTAGCCTTTATAAAATAAAGCTATCCCTGTCTTCAAAAATAACCTTTTCATTTTTAAAGCCAAAATTTATTTGTTTCCTAAATAAGAAAACTCAAGTGGTATTTTTGTATCCTTAAAAACAAAATAATTCTTTTTCAATCTTATTCCTGAAAACATGGCTTTATTTCTGCAATTCTCTTCTTCCTTCCCTTTCAATAGGGATTCCCTTATACCTATATGCTATTTCTGGATTTCTCAGGTTTTGGCATTTTCGAATGAGTGTAATATTTTCTATGTAATAATATTTAACACTAATGCATGCTATCACTTGAGGGTTTTTTTTAACACTTTATGCTTTGTTGTATACATAATATCTATTTTAATTTTCACAAAATTCCTCTGAGAAACCTTTTATTATCACTATATCTAACTAGAAAGGAGAAATTAGAACATGAAACAGTATGATCTGTAATGTATTACAAATGTATCTCTATAATAACCTAAGGTCTAGGTTACAATTTACGTTTTTGGATTCCCTGTATTGCTGCAGCCAGGACACTAAATCTTTCTACCTCCAGCTCTATCCAATGTTGTAATTTAGGACTCATCTGTACAGGCACTCCAGCTCTGTCCACACCCATGCCAACAGCTCCCTTGATCTATGGATCTGTAAGTGGTACTGTGGTCCAACCTAGGTGAAATGAATCTGGAAGAAGTTTCATATCAACCCTGTAGTGAGCTTAGAGTTTTTTAGTTATGGCATTTTGGGGGCATGTTTAGACAAGAGAATGTACTTTTTACAGGTCTGAAAATTACTTAGAAAATTTTTGTAAATTCAGAAGGTATGTCATTTTAAACACAAAGGTCTTTTAAACAGCTTAATGCTTAGTGCTCACAGGACAATAATGTAAGCAAGTTTGGAAGATATTTGGCTAGCAATCTGCTTAAGAGTAGTTTCTTTTGAAAAACAAGGCTTCATGAAGGTTGTCATTTTAGGAAGACATTTTAACGAAGTATGAAAGTATGAACTCTTCCATTTTATCAAAATAATCTTAAAATTGCTAGGAGGTTAAAAATAATTCAGTGAAAAAAAAAAAACCAGTCTATAACAAAGCTTGTCAGGGCATCAGACTTAGCATTTCTAAGAAAGGCTAAACTGGTTTGGTGGATAGGATTCAGTAATGAAGGTCAGGACTCTGGCATTCTCAACAGCAAACATTGCTGCTTCTCCTTCTTGACAGGGATGGGCATAGAACTACGCTAGGAACTTCTTCAAACACTGCTGAGGGCTTCACGGCTGAAAGCCAAATATTCAGGTATTTAATAACACTGATTTCTTACCTAGGGTTAAATCCTGTGCGTAAATGATTGGAGTCGGCATTTTCTCTTTTGGTTTCTAAATTGTGTCTTTGTTATTTCTGACTTTGAATTTAGTCCCTCTGGGATTACAAGAGTGTTGAAGCAACGTTGTGACACATCGGAACACCTTGAAATACATGGACACTTTCAAATCATTAAAGACTCTCAAGGTAAGACACCTACTTGGTAGGATAGTCTTCTTGTCCACCTTGCATCCCACAAGCTAATTTTCACTGGTCCATATACTATAACTTTGGAGGAATAGTTGTCAAAGGCGGCAGGGCTATGTTTTCCAGGAGCTACATCAGTTGTTGCTGATCATCGACAGAATTTTACCTCCTAAGATTGCACACTTCGTGGTCTCCATCATCAGGTGTAGATCGCTGGGGCCACTCGCCATACCACTTAGCTGTGAGTTGACCAGAAGCAAGAGCCCTGAGGCAGCCAATACGGAATTCTGGATAAAAAATGGAGAAAATAAACAAAATAGCTGTGAATATTGGAACACTGAAAAGCATGCCTAGAAAATAAATAATGAAAAACTTACTGAAAACAAAATGATACTAATAATTGCATGGTAACCTTCGTATCTCAAGCGTGCAAAACATAAATGAAAAGAGAGTTGGGAATCTCAAACTTTAATTTTCAGGTCCAGGTCTCTTGTAGCAACGTGGACTGTTGAGATCTACCAAAAGAAATGTTGACTCAGTAGGTCTTGTATAGAGCATCCTGAGTCACCCTGACACAGGTGGTCCTGATCCTACTCTGACAGGCAGTGAAGATGTGATTGGAGTTTGGTGGTGAAACATAAGGCCAGCAGATATATGGAGGGCATGTCAGTCACTTCACTCACCCTATTTCAAGTGACTGTCTCTTCTCATAAATGACCCTCTCCTCTTTGTGTGCTGGGGCAACTGCTCTGTGGAAATGGGGGACAGTGGGCATCCTATTTATGTGTACTTGTCCTTGCACAGTTCTTGAGCTTTATGGGACGGGGCTGCTCTGATCTGCTCTCTGGGCCTCAGTCAAGTGTGACCAGTGCAGCCTTACGTCCCGAGCCAAGCAGCTCTCTTGGGGATACTGCTGATTCATTACATGTTGATTTCAACTGTGCAGGGTCTGGCTGTATATCCTGGGAGTAGTAAAGCATCTTCTGTTGAAGAAGTCCTCTGAACCAGGCAACTTATATGCTATAAAATCTGATATGCACTATTTTCTTCTGAATTATTTTCCAGATATGCTGCATTTGGGGTATCGATTTTGTTTTCAAAGCAACAAAATAATTAAGATGACAGTGAATTGCCAAGCACTTTAGTTTTTGTTGTTGTTTGTTTGTTGTTGTTGTTGTTTTGTTTTGCTTTGAGACAGTCTCTCTCTGTCACCCAGGCTGGAGTGCAGTGATGTGATCTGGGCTCACTGGAACCTCTACCTCCCAGGTTCAAGTGATTCTTCCACCTCTGCCTCCCAAGTAGCTGGGACTACAGGCGCACATCACCATATCTGGTTATTTTTTGCATTTTTAGTAGAGACGGGGTTTCACCATGTTGGCCAGGCTGATCTTCAACTCCTGACCTCAAGAGATCAACCCACCTCAGCCTCCCACAGTACTGGGATTATAGGCATGAGCTACCATGCCTGGTCTAAATTTTAGTTTCTATTTTTGTAGTTATAAAAGATATTACTACACTGTTATAAAACAAGTGTCACTTGCATCATACTTTATGGAATGTATTGTGGTGTTCCTAGTGACCTAACATAGCCTTTGCAAAAAGAAAAAAGAAACAATGTAAGTAATTTTGAATAAAACATACTCTTGCCATCAAATTAATACCATTTGTAACAGGGAGGCCTCATAGAACATCTCCCAAGCTATTGATTTTCTCAGAATGCCTCCTGAACTCTTAATTCAAACATGACAGAATGCTAGAAACTGTAAATATGCTTTTCAACCAGTGTTGATACAGGGAGACCTATAGGCAATACACACTTTTCAAAGCATTTTATACAAAAATCACATGTAGTCATCCAAAAGAGTAAACCTAGACCCCAAACTTTTACAACCATATACAAGATTTAACTCAAAATGCATCAAACACCTCAGTTTAAGATCTAAAATGATAAAACTCTTAGGAAAAAATATGGTAGACAATCTTCATGGCATTTGATTCAGAATCCTTTTTTAAAATTAGATATGACACTTAAAACACTGAAACAAAAAATTAATTAAATTGGACTTTCTCATTAAAAAAAAAAAAACCCTTCTACTTATTATGGGATGCTGTCAAAAGAGTGAAAAGACATTCCACAAACAGGAGAAAATATTTGTAAACCATACACAAATGACATGGAATTAATATAATATAGATGGAACTCCTACAACTTAAGAATAACAACAAAAAAACACAACTTAAAAATGAGTAAAAGACTGAATAGACATGACAATAAATACATAAAAATATGTTCAACATCACTAGTCTTTAGAAAAATAGAGATCAAAACCATAATAAAAGACTACTTCACATCTGCTAGAATGACTATTACTTAAAAAATATAGAAAATCAGTTTTGGTAAGGAAGTGGAGAAATTGGAATCCTGCTGTATTGCTGGTAGCAATGTCAAATGGGGCAGCTGCTGCAATTTGGTGTTTTCTCAAAAACTTAAACGTAGAATTGCTATGCAATCCAGTGGTTTCACTTCTAGGTATACAGTGGAAAGAATTGAAAACAGGCACTCACACAAACATGTGTACACTCGTGTTCATAGCAGCATTATTCACAGTAGCCTAAGAGTGGAGATAGCCCAGGTTTCCTTCAGCAGACAGTTGGATGGATACGTGCAGTGTGGTGTACGCATGCAATGAATACTTTTTCCTTTTAAAAGTAATGATGTTCTGATACATGCTCCAACATTGATGAATCTTGAGAACATTGTGCTGGGCAAAATAAGTTACACACAAAAGCATCTGTTTTGTACGGCTCGACTTCTATCAGCACCTAGATTGGGTGAATTCCTAGAGACAGAAGCAGAATGGAGGTTGCAGGGGTCAAGGAAAAGGGGAAAGGGGAGTTATCTTTCCTTGGTGGGGGCTTTTGTTTGGGATGTGAAAGTGTTCTGGAGATGGATCGTGGTGGTGATGGTGCAACAGTGTGGGTGTGTTTGGTGTTACTGAATTGTACACTTGAAAATGGTTAGGAGTCTAAATTTTACGTTGTTTTACCAAACTAAAAGAAAATGTCAGAAAACTTACATTGATATTCTGAATATGATTCACAGAACATCACAATCTCACCTAGATACTGAAAGAAAATTTGTGCACCATAGTGCAGGCAAATAGAAAATGTGTGTGGATAGTGACTTTCATTAGGAGAGGCTTTGCTGTGCCCACTTATTAGGAACCATTCTCTATTGTTTACTGCACTCATCCTTAAACTGCTTCCACTATGACTTTCTGATAGAACCTTTGTTTTTGCCCAGTATTATAAAATGAGTTACATAAAGGCAGAGCAAATGCTAAAGGAAACTGTCCAGAAGGAAGGACAGTAGTAAGTGGAGAGACGTTATTGCAAACAAGCACCTGGTAACAGCTGTGTGAGTTGGTAAGCGAAAGGAGCTCATACGCAAAGCCGGTTACACCCCAGCATGTCAGTTTGCTGCTTAGGTGTGGGTTTTTTCTGTGTTTGTTGTGCCACTCACTGTTAACTGATTGTGTGTTTCTAACATTCCTCATTTCAATTTATGGAAAATCGTTACCCAATTGCCAATTTTATGCAGAACATCTGATTAGCAGGAGCAAATGGTCAACGTTAAGCATGGTGTATTATTTTCAACCATCTCCCTGCTCCAAAAATCCACTTCATATATTGTCCTGGGATAAACGATGTAGCAGATACTAAACTGATAAAACAGATCCTACACTTGGTCTTAACCAGAAGACCTAGAAGGGATTCTCTCCTTTAACCTCTTGCTCCTCAGACTGGGTAGGAGAAATTTTGTTTTAACATTCCTTAGCTTTGCTGAAGCAAGTCCTTACACATGCATTCTTCATTAGCCTTATATTCATTATATTCTGATCCGGTTTTTTATGCATGAAAAAGAGAAGTAGGTTCTAAATAGTTTGTTTTCAACTCATTTTTCTAATAATCAATTGTATCAATTCAATTCTCTCTAAAATCATTTGTTAAGAATTTGAGACAATGGACTGGAATAAAAAAGGAACTTCAGTATTCCAAAAAAAAATTTAATATGAATTTGCTCTGATCTATGTCCATTTTTGGACTTATTCCCCTTTGCTTTCTGGAAATTCTCTATGTTAGCATACAGCATATTTTGCTGCAAAGGTTTGCATACCTAAAATTCAACCTGGAATGCCAACTCCTTCTTTTCTGGAAAAGGCTTATTTGTGTTTATTTAACTGACTCTGGTCAGTGATAGCCTAATTAACTCTAAATTTTGTTCTCTCCTGCTTCTTTTTTTTTACTTTCAGGATGATTCTGTGGGAAACAAAACAAAACAAAACAACAATATCTAAGTTTCAGGGGGGAAAAGGTAGGGTGTCTGAATAGCTGAATGTGTATCTGTCATTGTCCAAGTCTCTGATATTCTGTAGTGCACATCTAGATCTATGTTGACATGCTTAAATTCTTTTGTTTCACTTTTCTTCATAAATGACATTCTGATTTGGCTCATTCATATCCTATAACTAAGTTTGGGAGAGATATTCACATTGTTAGATATGTAGGGAGATCTACGACGACTCCTAACATCTTCCCTTGTTTTGGGCCAAAGTTTACACTATCAAGTACGTTATTTACAATGTGCTTTTTTTAGGTGTTTCGTTATTTAATTGAAGATATATATTTTAGTGTCTTAGTTGATTCATGCTGCTCTAACGAAATTCCTCAGATTGGGTAATTATAAATAATAGAAATGCATTGCTTATAATTCTGGAGGCTGAGAAGCTCAAGATCAAGGTGCCAGTGGGTCTGGTGCTCAGTGAGAGCTCCCTGCTTCACAGATGGTGCCTTGTTCCTGTGTCCTCACCTGGCAGAAAGAGTGAATGTTGTGTCCTCACGTGGCTGGAGGGCAAAAAGTGACAAACTTGCTCCATCACACCCTTTTATAGGGGCACTACTCTCATCCCGAGTGCAGAGCCTTCATGGGCTAAGCACCT